GGCGGAAACGAAATTATATTCCGAAGAATTACACAGGTACGTATTATTACTATTATTATACTAGGGACCAGCAAACCGGTCAAACACTTTTCCTGAGGCTTCGACCCATTAGAAAATGCAAGAAAGCAGCATTAGCAAATTAAAACTCCTCCTGTCGTGAGGTCAGTGACCACTGGGCCCAGGAATTCATTATCACTATTACTTTCAAGGAAAATGAATGGACAGTACCAAATTATAATTATATTTGAATTAACACAAGTAGCAGAACATATATGTCCACATCTTTCTCCATCATAGTGTCACATCAGCTCGTTTATTTTCACGTGAAGGGTCTGCTTTTAAAGATATGACGGCTGGATGTTTTGCCCTGTTCTTGAACATTCCGGAACGATTCTAGTGTATTCGAAAGACTTTTATAATAATATAGAACATCCTGGAACATTCTGGAATGTTCGAGAATAGTCAGGAACGTTCTTGAAAATCGCGGAACATCCCAGATCATTGTGGAATGATGATGGGAGTTATATGGTGTGGTAGCTCTCTATCCTCCATCCGTGAAAAAGGTTCCTTCTCACCTGAAGGGTGTTTTGAAGATATAAGGGCTGGAAGTTTCACCCTCTAGAAGATTCTCAAACAGTTTAGAACATTTGAGAGTGTTCAAAAGCATTCCACATCCCAAAATAATCTGAAATGTGTTGGAATATTCGGGAATAATATGGAACGTTCGGGAAATCCAGGAATATCCAAGATCATTGCATGTTGTGGTAGCCCTCTTCCACTCATAAAAATTTTTCATTTTTATCTGATAGGCTTGTTGATTTTTTTTGGAATATCATTTTTGGAATATCATAGTTCGAAATAAAGGTATGTACCTACATAAAAATGATCCTACTTTCTTCGCATATGTATTTGCAAGGCTTTGTTAATTTTTTCATTTTTGGAAACAGTTATAAACAATTTGGTGCAGTTCTGGTTGAGTTAGTACTTCCAGGTACTATACAATCCTCCATACGTCCACAACATAGGCAGATGGATACAAAAAATCAAAAAATAATTCAACTTTCACACGGCTTACTGTGGCGATTCCTATCCAAGTCAGCATTTCATATATCTGATGACGTCACACAAATCCTTATCCATTTTTCGACAACATTCTTCAAGTAACTGCCGATTTCATTTTTGGAATAAAAGATAAAGTGAAAATGAGCCTATTGATGATTGATTGGTACTGTGTTTTGATATGAAAGAACACATCCATATAGACCAAGAACCAGTGACCAATTTTAGGTGGTCATTTCAGAAGTCACGAAACTTTCCACAGGTAATCTTCTATACCTACTTAAAATTACAAGCCACCACTGGCAGCCTTCTGTGGCCGAAGTAGACTATCCTAAAATTTCAAGGATTGTAAGAAATAAGATTTATTTTAGTTAATTTTCCTTTTTTAAAGTACAATATCTAGGTACGTATAAATTATGTCAACTTGATATGGCGATGTTGCCAATATGTAAATTAGAAACAAATCCCTTTAAAAATTAAAACCCAACATTTGAAACATCAATTTGAATACTTTTCGAAGTGAATTTGAGAAACTCATGAATTAAACTCAACTTTATTTCTTTCAAACTTGCATTTGCTGTAATAACCCAAATTGAGGAACATTACCCATTGTTCTTTGGAAGACGATTTATATCCATTGTATTCTCTGAATAAAATATTTATTTTTGCAACATTCTGAATCAATGGAAATTGCCAAAAAATACAGAGCACTTTTAATACATGAACGTTTGATTTAACAGACAACTGAAAGGAAAAATCGGAGAGGCATATTAGTTTACTTTATTCGTACTTTGAAAATTTCTTCAAAATCATAATGAATACCAATTGATTCGCCAGCTCACATTTCAAATTATTACGGTTTTTATGAAGAACGTTATCAACACTCTCACAAAAACCTCAAAGATTCAGTTAAACATAAGTTTTGAATCTTTCAAACCCTTATAGCATAAATAACCAAGTCGTGAAACTACAAAAAAACAATTAATTTATCATGGGATCCCTGACAGTGTTGCCGTTTCTCTCTCAACATGGCTAGCTACTGAAGTATGCTGTGTTATAGCACAATATTTTGATGGCTTCCCATAGACGTAAAATATTATTGCAAAATAAACTGTATAATGATTTGAATCGTGTAGATTCGAATTTGATGGTTGTGCAATATTTTGCGAAACAACGAGCACAGACGTACAATCTTCTCCGCATTATCAGTTGCCCCGGGTATTTCTTTTAAACGTATATATAGGCCGCTTAAATCATCACTAAAGCGCACACTATTATTGCACAGTATTCGAGATTGTGCAATAAAATTGAACGTGTGTTTATGTTATTGAAAGGATGTGAAATGTATTACACGAAATCAATTCGTTTTGCAATATATACAAAAGAAAATTAAAACTTACTCAGACATGCCTCAGGATCCTCGTCTGATCCATCCTCACAGTCCTTCTCGCCGTCGCATAAAAAAAATATTGGTACACACTTTTTGTCGGCGCATGTGAATTGTTTAGAAGAACATGGCGAGGATTCATCTGAAATCATAATAAAAAATATTAAACTACCATAATGTAAATAACGGCAAAAACATTCGACAGATGATACAGATCATGTGGGCCAAAGCGACTGCCACTTGTTTATTTTCGAGCAGAATGATTGCCAATAAGCGTTGATGTGCTGAGGATAACAAATACTAAATTTCTTTTACCAGAACTTGTGATCATTGACAGATGTTTTAGTAAGCTCAAGAGGAGGTTTCCAATTTTATACGGTTAAAAAGAAAGAATTGCATCCTTGATCTTATGCTGTGCTTAGTAAAACAAATATCATATTTAGATATCAAAAATAGGATTGAGAATATGATTTTTCAGTGTTACTATCTCTATTCGGGTTTGAAGGCCCTCGTAGTTTGCAACTGCATCCTAACGTTTCGCATGCACGAGTAGCTGGCTTCTTCAGAAGTTTATTCATCTTGATGATTCACCGATGACTGTCAGTCATGTGTTCGTAATTTTTTTGGCCAAAGAGGATACATTGATATGTCTCAGTGTCTCAGCCACCGTATTCACCAGATTTGCCCCCCTGCGACTTTTTTTCTTCTCAGGACTGAACAGACCAATGAAAGGACGGCGTTTTGCGACAAGAAAGGGGTTTTCATTCTTGTTGAAAGATTGCTCGCGTTCAGCCTATTCCCAAAAAGGGCAAGAAAAATCTTCCAAATAACTATAGACTAGTCGCTTTGCTATCAGTGATATCAAAAATCATGGAGAAAGTCATATACCACCATATCCTCAAATATTTGGAAGGCTTCAACATCTTAAGCGATCATCAAGCAATGAGCATGCATGAGCAATAAAATGACTACAAACAACACATAAATGTAAATTATATTGAAGAAACCTAGGTTATTCTCAACACATCAGCTATACAGAGTGGTCCAACGAAAAGTATGCACCTTGCTTTTCTCCTTTTTTTGTAACTTAACGCAAAAATGCTCGGACAGGTCAATTTTGCTTTTGAGGGGGGCACATTTTAGATATATTTTTCTACCTGTGCCTTCAACCCCCTAGCGAGGGTGAGTAACAACCCTAAAATTTTAAATGGAAAGTGGGGTCGAGTGATATATCATTTGAAAGGGCACAAAATTATCTTTCCAATGATACNAATTTTGTGCCCTTTCAAATGATATATCACTCGACCCCACTTTCTATTTAAAATTTTAGGGTTGTTACTCACCCTCGCTAGGGGGTTGAAGGCACAGGTAGAAAAATACATCTAAAATGTGTCCTCAAAAGCAAAATTGACCTGTCCGAGCATTTTTGCGTTAAGTTACAAAAAAAGGAGAAAAGCAAGGAGCATACTTTTCGTTGTCCACTCGATATAAAGATTCCGAGATCTTGAATGTCAAGGGTCTATATTCCTATCAATACTGTTCAAAAACAAACAGGACTACGTAAAAAATCTTGCTGAAAAATATACAAGATCTGTTGAGGATTTATCTATCAGAATATCCAAATTCAGACAGAGTCATACACAAAAATTTATATTCTATTTCGGACCTAAACTATACAATATGTTACCTCTAAAAGTTAAGCATATAACAAAAATGGCGAACTACAAACAAAACATTAAAAGTTTCATCCTCGAAAACAATACACTAAATTTAATTTTCAACTGATACACACTCCTCATTACTCTATAACTTATTACTTATTCTTTCTTATTTTCTCTTTCCCATCATCCTAACCAACCTAACTAATATAAAATAATTCTCATGATAAATTTCAAATTCATCTACTCAATATTATCATTATTATTTTTCGAAACTCGCACTGTATAAAAATAGTAAATTAAGATACCCAAATTGAAGAATGGAACATTACGATACAAGCATTCATTGCTTAGGTATGTTCCATGTTTTCTTTATGTTTACGATGTATTTTTTATAGTAGATACTGTACCAAACAAAATATGGAATAAATCAAATATGGAAATCAAATCAAATCAATATGGCTTTCGGAAACAAAGATCAACAGGCGACCTTCTATTGTATGTTACCTATATTTGGAATAACGCAATCGAGAAACATGGTGAATCAAGAGCTGTTTCGCTTGATATTTCTAAGGCCTTTGAGTGTGTGTAGCATGAGGTTTGCTGGCCAAACTTCGATGCTATGGCTTGTCAAATCATTTATGTGTATGGCTTTCCAGCTTCCTGAAAGAACGTTCCCTGCAAGTGACCGTCGATGGATATCTCTCGAATACTTTCACCATCAACGCTGGTGTTCCCCAGGGATCCATATTGCCTCCAACCTTTTTTTTATTGTATATCAACGGCTTATTGGAAAAAACCAAGAATCCAATATCTTGCTTTGCTGATAATAGCACACTTGTCTGGTCATTCCATTTGGATTCCAGGACTTCGGTTGCGGGTTTTCATCGGTAGCAGGACGTTACATATGTTAATGAAGATCTAGAGGTGATTTCGAATAGGGGTAAAGGTTCACAAAAACCCAGGCATCTGTTTTTTCCAAGAAGATAAATGTCTCCGAACGCATAGGGTCAGATCTCGAGTCAACTTGATAGGTCCTTTCCTTTCAATCCAACTGTTGTGCATTACGATTCTGAGCATTATTAATAAGTGAAAGGCATGAATTTCAGGCCACAAACAAAGTTGCGATTTTCATCTCTCCAAAAACAAAAATTCACTTAACCCACATCAGTTTATTTTGCCAGAGATCCAAGCTGTATCCGAACCGGATATAATAATGTCAGGTCAGACAATCCCGCTTTCTGCTTCGATAAGTTTGTTGGGGGGTTAAAATGGACACGGATATGTCTTCGCACAATCATGTCGCTGGAATTGCAAAGGCTGCTTCTCAAAAGCTTGGAACACTGTTCCGAACCAGAAAACTGTACACACCTTAGCAACTTTAGATGCTTTATAAAGCTCAGATCAGACCTTCTTTGGAGTATTGTTCTCTTGTATGGACCTCTGCCCCCAAACATACCCTGAAGTTGCTGGATTCCATCCAGAAAAGAGCCATCCGCCTGATTGGAGACACAAACATCATGTGCAATCTTGATAGCCTGGAACATCGAAGAAAGGTTGGAGATTTGTATCTATTTTATAGATGTTTTCACGGAAGGTGTTCAACTGACTTGTCACATTTGATTCCACCAAGAGCGGAACATATCAGAAATATGCGACGGACTGTGGCTGCTCATCGTGTTCACTCTTTAAGAACTCTTTTATCTGGAGAACTGCGTTTATATGGAATAAACTTCCTGAGAACGTTTTCCCAAATGGATTTAACCTCCAAAGTTTCAAATCCAATGTGAATCGCTACTTTCGCATAGGTGCCGCTCTGAGAGGGCCTTAAGGATTGTAGTGCTTGTGTTTTGTCCTTGAAAAAAAAATACATACCAAAAAGTACATATCAGAACGAGGATTGAAAGAAACGCTGGCACAAGTGTATTATATCTGAGAGGGACTACATTGAAGGGGACAAAATAGAAATTGATGAATAAATGAATATTTTTTGTAAAATTAAAATTCACCCTATTTTTTTAACGTACCTTGTATACTTATTTTTGTTAATTGAATTTTACTTCCTAGACATAATCATCCTAGAATCATATAATCATTTCGTAGAAAATTCCAAAAACAAATCGAAAGATATTTGGAAGTTAGTAAATCACGAACGAAATTTTGCTAGTAACTAAAATGTCACCCCAAATAGTATCAGCCCTGACGAATTTAATATATATTTCTCCAATATAGCCGAGGATATATAATCAGATCCTTGCCATCCTGTAATATCAACATGACAGATTGCTATTCTAACCTCCCTACACCGCGAGAATCTTTTTTTATGTTACCTGTGACCCATGAAGATGTAACACGCTCCATTAAAAAACTCAAGAGCACAAACTCATATGACATATATTATTTAAATAGCCTTATCATAAAAGAAACTCTGGATTATCTCATCGAACCGTTAACCATTCTGTTTTCTTGAGGGTTTTTTCTCAGATGTATTGAAATTGAGCAAAGTTATACCTATTTTCAAAAAAGGAGATCCTTCATCACCTGACAATTACAGACCTATATCTATTATACCCATCTTGGGAAAAATAATAGAGATCATAGTTAAAGAACGTCTGATTTTATGAATAAATATTGTATTCTCCACAAACATCAATATGGCTTCATGGAAAACAGATCCATAACTGATGCAGTTATGGAAATAATACAAAATGCAATAAACAATGTGGAACGTGGCGAACACACCTCTTTAACGTTGTGGGATCTGAGCAAAGCATTTGATTGTGTTAATCACANGATAATGGGATCAATCCCGAAACGGGTCGTAAAATAAAAATTTTTCAGTGGTATTTAGACAAAAGTGTTTTTATTCATTTAATTTAAGTAATAAAGACTTTATTTTATATTTTATTTGGTTACTTTAAACTGTACATCTTCGCTCGTGACATGAATCGGAACTAGATCATATTTCAAGATTCAGTGTCGTAACACACACTCCCCCATCCAGCAAAAAGGTTCATTAACTATTCGTTCCGACATTCTGTTCCTCATCGTTTTCCAAGGCACACTTTTCAATTACTCGATATTGACTGCATCCACTCACATTAATTTTATCTTCCAATTTGAATGCGAAATAAATTACACAAACGGTATCGGGAAAATTGTACGTGAAATTTATTATTTCGAGTGTAGGGAGGAATAGCATCGGCCTTTTTTATATTCGGCCTGTTGGTTCGAACATTTATTTCCAAGAAAATATTTCGTAACAAGTTGGACGTGAATACGAGTGTAATATCTGAGTAACACATTTACGAAACGTGGAAACAGTGATAACAATTGCTTATAAAAACCAGCAGGCAAGCTTTGCGTAGCTCAAGGTGTTTTGGAAAGATCGACGGTGGAATCAACAATTGTTCGAAATTTGTTTACAATTTCTAATTTCTTGATGCTTTTGAGAGTGTGGATCCAACTCCAAATGGATAAGACA